ATAAACAAATTTACAATTTCTTTTAGTATACTGCTATTGATAATGAAGGCATGAGTATAGCTGTAGCAGGACGTACAGGATTAGCTCATTATTCTTTACCTTCCCGTAAATGGAAACTTTTTGGTAATGAAACTCAAGAACGAGATTTCATTGTAACTGGGGGATTATTATGGCATCGAGGTTTCTTGATAGCAAGTAGTTATTCAATATTAGATGATAAAGATGAAGTTAGAATATATCCACGTGATACACGTTTGGATAATAATTATGTTAGAACTGTTAGAATGACATCACAAGTATTACTGCTCAACACATTAAAAGACAGACTTTTAACATTTTGTGCTAATGCACAAATTAGCATTTATGATATGGTAATAGAAAGCAATAATGGTGAGTAAAAAAGGAAAAAAATTTTATGAATTATAAATTATAAAATTATATCTTAAAATTTTATTATTTATAGATGCAGGAAATATAGAATTAACGAGATTACAAACTGTAGATATCAGTGGACTTTGTATTCATCCTGCTTGTGTTGTAAGTGCCACTTTAACTACTATACGTGCAGAAACAGCTGGAAGTCATCCACATCCTGAAAGTCTTCTGTTGAACGTATCTGGACGTCTACTTATGGTTCAACGAGAACATTGTATTGATAACCCAGAAGTTGTATGTGAATAATATTTTTAATAACAATTCAAAAATAAAAATAAAATTTACTTTCAATTTTGTTATTCTTTACAGCTGTTTACGTGTAGTGCTCCAACAGTATTAGCTTCTTATGTAGAAAATGTTTGGGTACCATGGAGATCAAGAAGAGATAAACCTCACTTAACAGAAGCTCTATGGTTATTTTGCGGTGCTCATGGCATGCGCGTTTGGCTTCCATTATTTCCAAGGAATCATCAAGAAAAAACGCATACTTTTATGAGCAAGAGAATTATGTTACCTTTTCATTTACGTATTTATCCTTTAGCTATATTATTTGAGGATGCTATTTTATTGGGAGCAGAAAATGATACAGTACTTTTTACTTCGGATACTAATTCCCTATTTTCGCTGCCATTTAGTTTATTAGAACTTACAGTAAGTGTAAACATCATAAAATATCTTTTATTAGATGAAAATTTCTCACATATTATTTTAATTTTAGAGTCAAGTTTATCTTCATCAAATATTACGACAACTCATTCATCGAAATTTAGGATATCATGCTTGGGAAATTGCTCGTTCCTGTTCTGCACTGCCATATTTTCCACATTCATTAGAACTTTTACTTCATGAGGTACTAGAAGAAGAAGCAACTAGTAAAGAACCAATCCCAGATGCTCAGTTGCCTTCTGTGGTGGAATTCATCCGTGAATTTCCAGGAGTATGGGCTAGAGCAGTTGTTCAATGCGCTAGAAAGACTGAAATAGCACTATGGCCTTATTTATTCTCTGTTGCTGGGCCACCAAAAAAGTTGTTGCAAGATTGTTTGCAACGTCAACAACTTGATACTGCTGCTAGTTACTTAATAATTTTACAAAATCTAGAACCTTCAATCGTTAGTCGACAACATGCTACCTTGTTATTGGATGCTGCTTTAGAACAAGGAAGATGGGAACTTTCAAAAGATCTTGTTCGTTTTCTTAGAGCAATAGGTAATAATAAATATTTTATAAAATTTTTATAAATATGTATTATGATCTCTATATTTATATATCCTTTTTTTTTCTTTTTTTTTTTTTTTAAGATCCAAATGATGTGGAGTCTCCAAGAACATCTTGGGGTGGAACATCAAAATTAGGCGGACCTCCTCAAACTCCACCACTTTCACCTCATGAAGATGATTTATCTTTAGTATTAGGAACTATGCAAGTTTCAAGAAGTCGAAGTTATAGTACTACGGTGACACCTAAAGTACAATCTGATTCAATAACTAAAGATATAGCTCCTTCTTCAATGTTAGAAAAAACTAGAAATGTTGTTATGAGGCGAAAAAAGTCTGTACCTACCAATACTTCTAAAACTGAGAAGGTTGATAACAAGTATGTTTTGATAAGTTTTGTATTAAATTCTAGAATAAATATTGATTAAAGTTATTAAAAATATATTATTAAAATATTAAAATAAAATGTTTATTATTTTTTAGAGAAGGTTCAGCCGAGGAATTTTTTATTGATGTAATACTACAACGTCATGCCCGTCGATTACTTTCAGCAAAACGACTCGCAGATTTAGGCAGATTTTCTGCACGCTTAGATTTTCATTTAGTTACATGGTTTGCCAGAGAACGTGATAGAGCAGCAAAAATAGACGATTATATTGCAGCATTGAAAGCAGTGCATGAAGATTTTTCATTTGCTTATCCTGTGTTATCCCTTCCAACTTTACAAAAATTTCGGAGATCTAGCCTTACTTCTTTACGTTCTATAAGATCTGTGAGTTTAGAAAGTCCAGAAGATGAACCATTAAATTCCAGTTTTGTTGTTGATTTACCTGATAGTGGTTATACTAGTTTGCCAAGTGGAAGACCACCTTATACGACATTAGTGTCTCCTGTTGCCAGTTTAGAAACACAATTTCCTGCTACTGAAACTAAATTAACAGCAAATATGTTACATGGTATTTGTTTCATCTTATAACAATATAAATTTAATCATGTTATTTTAGATTACAAAAATATAAATTTTATTTCTGTATTTTTAGATGCTAACAGCGTTCTTAGTGATAGTAGTACTATTTGGAGAGATGATACTGAATCAATCGTTGGGACTGGAGTCGGAACAGTGTGTTGGGTTTCACCAGATCCTGTTGAACAGACAGAAGTTCATAATGCTTCACTCTGTGCACCAATAAGTCGTGCGGAAGTACAGCTTAGATATCTTTTACAATTATTTTTGGAAGGTAGTTGTTTAGGATGGGCTGCAGTATTGGCAACTGTTTTACGTGATGCACCTGCTATGGCTAGAACTATCAGAGCAGCACATGCACCTATGCAAACATTTGATTCTGTAATTAATTTAAGAGATGGTCTTCTTACATTAACTAAATGGTCTCATTCTGAATGGTATGTATCATATAAGCAATATATGTTTAAAATAAATAAATAAATTAAAAATAAAATGAAAAATTAAATTTATATTTTAGTTTGGGATACAGACCTTTTATGTCAAGTATTCAAGGACAAATTTCTTTGCTAAATAGATTAATTATAACAAAACAACAGCAAGAACAGGAACAAATACCAGAGAGTCCTTCTCCTAGCCCAGCTCCATCCGCAGGTAGTAATCAACGAGGAACTTTATCACGATCTCGGCATTCGTCTATCAGTCATACTTCAACAACTGCTCCGTTAGATGAAGAACGATCACATGAATTATCTTTAAAAGTGGAAGATATAAATTTCCGAGGTAGTTATAGTAATCTCAATAATATGGAAAATGCTACTTCGCAATCTACATGTGTAATCTCTTAAAGCAATGATGTCTTTTCAAGACTCAAATGTACTATGTTTATATATTAGGTAAGTAGAGACAAAGTTTTTCTAATATTTTTCAGCTTTCTATGGAATGTGATTAAACATAATAATCTAAAAAAAGAATTTATCAAATCATTTTTGGTACTAAAATTTTTCCTAAAATAATTAAGATAAATAATACGAGAATTAAACCCCGAAATTTAAGAAGTAAAAAAGTTATATGTTCACTATATATACATACAAAAAAAACTTTAATAACTTTTGTTATGATTGATTGACTAATGTATGATAATTATGTATACAATATCTTTGAAAATTTTATTAATATGTAAAAAAAAAATATTACACAGAATTAATATTTCTCATTTTGTAAACATTTCTATAAATATTTCTGTAAATATGTTATTAATATCATAGAAAAAAGTACTGTTGAAATATTTTTAGGGCTTATATTTTCTAGTAATGTTCAATGAAAAACAATAGAGATTGAAAATAATACAGAATATATGACTGATACTATTTCTTCCTTTCTTTGTAGACAATATACAAAAATAATAAATATTTATATGAGTACAATTGATATTAGTAAATTTGTAGATTTAAACACAAGAGAAATGAAAACAGTGGATTCTAATATTTTATATATTGGAATATTATTGGAATTCATACTGACTGAATTATGACTATATTATGAGGAAATAATTTGCATTGTCTCAATATAAGTTATATATTTTAGGAAAGTTATGAAATCTTATACTGATAAAATATTATTCTATTTTATTAAGTATTAAAAAGTAGTTGATGAAATAATAACCGTCCTGTAATCTAAATTTCTTTCTATATTTATATAAAAATTGATTTTTCTAATTAATATCAAAAGAAGCTATGAGAATCTAATATCAATAATTGTATGATTGATATTATAGATATTTGTTTTCTATTAAATTAGTATATTAAATGAAAAAATTATGCTAAATAGAAAATAGAATTATTGTTATTTGAAGGATTGCAATCATATATAAAATATAAATTTTTTAATTCATAATATAATTAACATCAGATATTTTTATTTTTATTTTATTTTTATTTAAAGAAAATTATGTTATATAATTTTGTTAAATGCTGCTAATAAATAAAAGTTATTGTGTGCTTAAAGGGAACATAAATACTCAAAATAAATTTTGAAAAAAGATGTATTTATGTTGTATAAAAACTTTTTTAAAATATATTTTTTTATAATATCTAATTTGAAAGCTAAAATTCATTGAATTAATTTATAATAGATTATTTATTAGTACATTATTATATTTTTATAAAAAGTAGAAGTAAATTAATATACAGAAATTTTACTCAATATTTTATTTAAGAAAAATAATATTTATAGTACATATAGATAGTATTCACTAAATTTATTAATTTTTTAAGATTACATTATATTAATTAAATTTTATTTTTATGTTTTTGAAAAATATTGACTTTATGTATTACATTGTATATCAACATTGAAGAAATAGCTTGTTATAAATAGTCAAAAATAATAATCAAAATTATTTATAAGTATTTATAACAGAATGTAAATTTAATATGAAGAACTGGTCAACTGATAAAAATACTTACATTTAAAGATAGATTCATTGTTTCACAGTTTTTACTCATAGAAAGATGTATAATATTGTTCTTTTTATATTTAAATCCAAATTCAGATAATTAATTAAATTATATATTTCTTTTTGAATTACATATTATTTTTATTAGTATTATTCATTACTCTTTCAATATGGAATATAATTTTTATAAATATAGCAATTAACTTTTCTTATCCTTTATTATAATTATTTAAATATAAATAAATTAGCTAAATAATTTATGGAAAAAACTGTGAAACATTAATAGTAAATTGTTTATATATATACATATTGTAATATAGATATTCAGAAATATATATTTTCCCATAAATCATGTGATTCTTTTTTAATTTTCCACTATATAATAATAAATTCTTGTTTAAAATTTAAAAATTGTAAATAGTTTATATAAAAATATAAATAATATATATATATATATATATATATATTATTGTTCTCTCAAGCATGATTGATAAAGAAGAATGATTGAAGAAACTGAATTCAGAAATATTATTAAAAAATTAATAATTCATCGAGTAATATCATATAATTAAATAAGTTCTACGAGGAATTTTATTTTATTTAATATTTTTTTTTTACAAAGTGTCAATTATAAATATAATATGAATGCAAAAAGTTCTTTTTGTTTATTCATTTATTAATAAAGTGGAATTTCATGAAAAGAATATTGATATCGCCTTTGCAATTTTATTGTTTTACTCAGAATTTTGCTATCTCTTTCATAACTTTGTTTCATATCATACTTTATATCATATCATGCAATCAGTATTTGTCTTTCATAAGATAATATTCTAAACAATGTTTAATATATATTTTATATTGATTTCAAAATATCTTAATGAATCGATCTCGGGGCACAATAATATAAATATATCATAATCATGTAATTTTTAAAAATATATAAATAAAATATAATATTATACAAAAATATTACATTATTTAAAATTATTTTACAAATAAAAAAAATAAATGAAATAAATAATTGATTTTTTATTTTCTTAATCATGTATATTATATCAATTCTATTTATAATTTAACATATATATATATAATTATTATAATATATTATATCAATATTATTTATCATTTAATTGAACATATTTTAACATATATCTAATTTTTTAATATTTTAGGTATTAATAATGGCAAGTAATATAATAAAAAAAATTTGTTATCTAGATAAACAATAATATATATTTATAAATAACATGTAAAAAAATATCAGGAACTTTCATAAAAATATAAGTCCAAATATAATAATATAATATTTTGTAGTATAAAGGGAATTATATTTTTTAAATTCATTTGAGCTTTAATAATACTTTGTTCATATTCAATATTAATTTCTTAATTTATAAATTGATCTTAAATATATTCATTTTCAAATATAAAAAGAATTTTCACATAGAATGATATGGCAATAATTTCATTTTAATGATAAACATACGAATAAGAATGAAATATTTATAATTTAAAAAATTTTGTATTTGAACACATCTTATAAAATTGTCCAAGAGAATTTATATATTAGAAATTTATGTTAAATTTTTTTGCATTTTAGATATTTTACTAATTTAAATATAATAATTATCTGAGCATTATTTCATTATTAAAAAAAATATTGAGAATTCGTAATGATTTATCTCATAAATGAAAAACTAGATTACAGGCATCATCTTAAAAAATATACGTTTCTTTATGGATTTTTTAAAATAATGATTATTCAATTGTTATTGTTGAATCGAAGAAACGTAATTTGGATTATAAGGTGCTTGCTTTTCATAAATATTTCCTGAATATGTTGATGCTTGTTGTATTCCTGAAAGAAGTTATATGAATATGATTACTTGATATTAAAAATAAATAAATAAATATTTTAAATATATAAATTATATATATTTAATATATAATATAT